GTCACCTTTCTTGAAAACCAAGAGCATCGCACTTCTGCTCCAAGCCTTCGGTGTAATTTCACCACGGAGGACGGAATTAAAGAGCTTCTGAAGGACTACAGGTATCGGTTTTCCACACGCATTCAGAAGCTGCGCTGTAATTCCATCCTCACCTGGGGCCTTGTTGTTTTTAAGGTGCTGTGTTTCTAATGTGCTCTTTTTAAGAAACTAAGGAGAGCCATTCTAATCTCGCTCAGAATGACGTCCGGGATATCTTCAAAAAAGTGTCGGATAAGACTCGCTCTTGGATTGTTACTCGCACTTGCGTGTGGCTCCAACGATGACGTGTACAGCTGCCCATAGAACCTCTCAATCTCACTCAAATTTTCAGGTGACCCCAGAAACGATGCTGCCACACTCGGTCTTCAGCTTTGACAGTTGGCTCTTTCTGGCAGACAGATCTCTGGCAAAGACTTTGCAGACTTGGTTCCGCTCGATCGCTTCTTCAATACAAGCTGTATTGAAGTTGCACAAGTCCCGCCGCATGCATTTGGAGATCTGTCTGTTCAGTTGCCTGTATGCTGTCAAATCTATTGAAGAATAAAGCTTCATCTCCCGTCTAACAACCATGTGATTAAGAGTGTGATCGGAGAGTTTTTGTGTTCTTCTGCGTCGGGTCTTGCAGAACTTAGCTCCGACCGCATGGACAGTTTCCACGAGCTTGTCATTCATATCTTCCACTTCATTGCAGTCTTCTAGGCACTGAAAACGGTTTTGTAACTCGAGCTGAAAGGTTTCGGGACTTTGGAACAGAGCACGAGGGGGACGGAGCGTTGACTTCATTAGACGAGACCTCTCCAACTTAACGTTTATGTTCAGTGTGCCTCTGACCATTTGGTGATCGCTACCAGTTTTCACCCTCGCGATCACGGAGACATCACTGAACAGTTGTCGTCTGGTCGTCTCATTTTTTGTCGAATCGTCGGGGCTCGTCGACACACTCTTAATCTTTACAACGTTGTTAACGAGAGACTTCTGGAAGATTAATCCGACACTTCCTTGGGACAGATGGTCGCCCTCCCGGTGATAGAGCAAGTTGCCGGATGCGAGGATTACCGTGGTCCCCCCCTTTTCTTTGGACTTCGAATAATCCTATAATATGCCAGCGTAACTTGTCTACATCTTCTTCCAGCTCCACAATCTTCTCGTCAGTCTTCAGGGTGCGTTCATTTTATGTTGCTAGTTCGAGTCGTCTTAGGTGGCAACCGAACCTCCACCGGAGATTCTTAGCACCCCCCTGCTCTACCGTTACCATGGTCGCCACCGTAGCCAGGAATAGCAGGTCAGTAGGTGTGAATTGGGGCTTCTGCGTCACTTGCTCTCGCATCGCTCGAGCTACATGCCGCTGAAGACCCCAATTCTCTACAGTAGAGGTGCAAAATTTTTAGTTAAATGAAATTAACGTCTACATACTCACAGTTCTATCCTGCGTAAACAAGTGTTCTTCCACTTCCATTTGAGTAATTAAGCATTATATTCAGAGCGTTTGCGAGATACTGATGGTATTGCCGCATCTATATGATTAATTTCTAATAATACAACTTGTTTAGCCTAATTTCATTGTGGTTAGTGCTAATAAACGTTTTTAAGCTATTGCATAGCTTTTATCGAGGGCTTTGAGCGCGGCGACCGAAAAAAAATAATTCCGTAACGAAAAAAAAATTCCGTAACGAAAAAAAAAAACCTAAGACCCAAAACCTAGCATCGTAAATCCATTACAATAAAGACATTAATTAATTTGCATCCATCCGCTAACTAAATAAAATGATGTGTCTTACCTGGATTGAAGAGCGTCTCTCACCCTCCCTCAATTGTTTCATTATTGTTTTATTCTCATAGCGAGTGCACGTTGATTACAACGCTCGTCAAATATCATCTATATTGGTGAGTTAAATCATTTTTTTACTATTTAGATATTTAGCCGCTATTACCTTTTTTTTGACTTCATACTTGTTTTTGTTAATTGCAGATCATGGTCAACACTGAGGAACACAATGATTCTAATCCTATCACTAATCCGTATTACTATGCACAGGATGTGGATAAATTTACATTAAATTATTACAACCGAAAAGAGCAGCTTCACGATTTACTACCAAATAGAAGACCTATGAAGAGCGGTAATCGAAATCAAAGAAATGTTACAGGAAGAGAAACCGTTCTCAAGAATCATCATCATCATCATCATCATACATTATCCGCTGAGATAAAGATAAACGAGGTCATCGTCTGATTAAAATCAGCATTTGCGAACTTAACGAGCAAGAAGAAAATGTCATCCACGATCTTAGTGCTAATATAAGTGTTCAATATGTTTTGGATTCAATATATGATAAAGTGTTAGATGCTACAAATTTTTTTATAAAAAAAATAGGTGAAAAATTATGTGAGAACTAGTAATTTAAGTAATGTAGCTTGTAAAATATAATAAAAGTTATACATTGAAGTTTATTGTTGTTTTATTATGTATCATTATTATTCTATTGTGTAGAGGAAAAAAGAAAAGACATTTATTGTTACAATGAATGTATTTATTAAAACTAATTATTTCGATTTTCGATTTTATCTGAATTTAAATGTTTTAGTTTTTATTTCGATTTTAACTGAAAGCAACAACACATAGATATATTTTATTGGAAATCAAAAAATCATTTTGTTTTCAAAACACCATTTCTTAATACATAAAACATTTTTAACGCACATATTTTCTTACTAGTAAAACATTTATACAGTAAAGTATCTTTACAATAAAGTTCACAAAGAGTATTTAAATTGGGAGCTCCTTAGCAACTTATATCTATGATAGTATTATTTTCATCACAAATATCTTACACCCATTGTAGTGTATAGACAAACGTCTTGTAGTGTATAGACAAACGGTAGTGAGTCGTCACTACTGGGGTATAAATATAGCCCGCCGTGTGAACATCGGGCAGTTGAATTGTAACCAGCGAGAAGGCGACATCTCTGTTAATACGTGTATACCGACAGACGTGTACCAAGTATTGTGTAGTGTTAGTGACATTATGTAATGAGTGATAACCGAATATATTGTGCAGAATAAAGCAGTGTATTGTATATTGGCGACGAGGAAAAAATACTGTAAGTAATTACAAATGTTTTTATATGAACTGGAAAATTTTATACTAGGATTTGCTGTATTCTCTTTTAAGAGATTGATTAAAATACGGATCGTAAAATTGGGGACATTTATAGTAATAGCAGTTTGATAGTCATGCAGTGACGTGATTTATCTTTGTTAAAATCAAATGGACACCTCAATGAGATGGTCCATGAGCATGGACACTTATTGATGATGGTCCAAGTATTACTAAAGCAAAGGTCCAGTCATGGACATGCTTTAGGTCCTAAAACGGGGTTTAAAATATCTAAGGCTGAGATATCATGAGAATGTAATTGCGTGACGGTCTAATAATAGACACACGTATTTAAAAGATATATTTGTCACTGTTTGAGTTATCACGCTGCGGGCATCCAAGATGTTCCCCGTTCTAGTACGAAAAGCTAATAAATAAAAGTACTGGTAGAAATTAATTAGTTATTATCTGCTTGTATTTCTTCTTTCTTACAGGAATAAGACTATAACTATAAAAATAAAAAATGTCATCACTACCCCCTCTAGAATCATTTGTTTGTGATGGGGATTCTCATGGCATTGGTGCAAAATGGGAAAAGTGGAAGCGAGGTTTAGACATTTATCTAGAAGCTGCAAATATTGAACTACCCGCTAAAAAAAGGGCTACATTATTACACATGGGTGGCCTTAGTCTCCAAGAAATATATTATAATATACCAGGCGCCCATTTTAGCAGTACAGATGATCCAACGAAGGATATTTATGCTATAGCCATTGAAAAGTTAGACGAGTATTTTGCTCCAAAACAAAGCAAAGTATATGAGAGACACTTATTTCGACTAATGAAACAAGAATCGGGAGAAAAATTTGAAAAATTTCTAATTCGATTAAGAAAACAGGCTGATAAATGTTGTTTTGCAAATAAAGAAGAAAGCATTATCGATCAAATTACAGAAAAATGTTACTCTGGCGAGCTTCGTAAAAAAATTTTAAAAGGAGGTGACAAAATGACATTAGAAGACATCATAATAGAAGCCAATACCCTAGAAAGTGTAAACAGACAGATGGAAGACTTTACTCACAACCCCGCATGTAATAGCAGCACCGTAAATAAAATTGAAACCAGAAGGAAAATGTCTAACAAATCGTGTACTAGGTGTGGGAGCTTTAAGCATATGCCTCAATCAATGGAATGTCCCGCAAGGAAAATTAAATGCCATAAATGCGGTATAACGGGGCACTTTCGAAAGTACTGTTTGACAGTAAGGCCACTTAAAAGACAATTTTTGAGTTCAAAAGACCCTACCCCCACCAAAAATCAAGGACGGAGGAAAAAGAAGAAATCGATTATGTTTTTCATGTAGATGACGACACTACTATTAATTGTTGGGTTGGTGGTGTCAAGACGTCATTATTGATCGATTCTGGATGTAAATGTAATTTGATAACAGATGTTACATGGAGAAAACTAAAATCAAATAAAATAAATGTTTTTGAAATGGATAGATCACCGGATAAAACATTTTACCCCTACGGTAGCACTAAACCATTAACTATATTGGGATCATTTAAAACTCAAGTCCAAATCAATAACAGAAAAGAAGTTGCTGTTTTCTATGTGATAAAAAACGGCACTAAAGATATTTTGGGGAAAGTAACCTCCATAGCATTGGGCGTTTTGCGATTAGGTGTTAAAGTAAATACCGTAGAGTCAACATCAGATGAAAATATTACAGTATTTCCAAAATTTAAAGACGTTGTTGTTGAGATACCTATTGATGAGAAAATAACGCCAGTAAGTCAGCCTTACAGGAGAATACCTATACCCCTAGAAACAAAGGTTAATAAAAAGATACAAGAATTATTGCAGCTTGATATTATCGAAGAAGTATCTAAGCCATCAAAATGGGTTTCACCCATGGTGCCTGTTTTAAAGGAAAATGGGGATATAAGGATCTGTATCGATATGCGGAGAGCTAATGTAGCAATAATTCGTGAAAATCATCCACTACCAACAATGGATCAGCTGCTACCACATTTTAAAGATGCGAAATTATTTTCTCGCCTCGATATTAAAAACGCTTTCCACCAAATCGAAATCCATCCTGATACCCGATATATCACTACATTTATAACGAGCAAAGGGTTATTTAGATACAAGAGACTTATGTTTGGTATTTCCTGTGCTCCAGAAATGTTTCAGAAAATCATGGAACGCACACTTATACGGTGTGAAGGTACGGTAAATTTTATTGACGATATTGTCATTTTTGGATCAAATGAGGCAGAGCATGACCAACGATTACAACAGACGCTCAATATTTTGAAAGAGAACAATGTTCTGTTAAATAATGATAAGTGTATTTACAAAGTAAATAAAATAGTGTTCTTGGGGCATGAGTTATCTAGTGAAGGTGTAAGGCCTTTAAAAAAGTACATTGACAGTATCCAAATGTTTAGGGCACCATCAACTATCGAGGAAATTCAAAGTTTCTTGGGGTTAGTAAATTTTGTTGGGAAATGGATACCAAATTTGGCGACACTTACTGAGCCTTTTCGGAAAATATTAAGGCTAAAGCTGGGGAAAAATGCCGACATTGGGAAATTCTGGACAAAGACCAGGAAAACGCATTTCACGAATTGAAGAAAATTCTATGCAATATGCAGTCATTAGGATATTATGATCCGGCTGACAAGACCCAAGTTATTGCCGATGCCAGTCCTGTTGGGTTAGGGGCGGTTCTTATCCAAATTAATTCAAAAGGACCTAGAATAATAGCATTTGGAAATAAGAGTTTAACAGACTGCGAAAAGCGATACTGCCAAACTGAAAAGGAAGCGCTGGCCTTAGTATGGGCTGTAGAACATTTTAGAATATATCTTTATGGAAAAAGTGAGTTTGAACTGGTAAGTGACCACAAACCATTAGAAATTATTTTTGGAAGATGCTCTAAGCCTTGTGCCCGAATCGAAAGATGGGTTGTTCGATTACAAGCCTATAATTACAAAATAGTATACCAACCAGGTAAATCGAATATAGCTGATCCCTTTTCAAGACTTTGCACATCAAACCATAATTCTGTGAATACAATAGTACGTAATTTTGATGAGGAACATATCAGGCATATAATTGAATACTCAAGACCCGTAGCCGTATCACTTGACGATATTGAGCAATTTTCCAAGGAAGATTCCGAAATTGCTAAGGTAAGACAAGGTTTATACTCATGTACCTGGGACCATACCATATCAAATTATAAAGTATTTGAATCAGAGCTTTGCTTCCAAAATAATATTTTACTTCAAGGTAACAAAATTGTTATTCCTGAAAAATTAAGACAGCAAGTATTGCAAGCCGCTCACGAGGGTCACCCTGGTATTGTTTGTATGAAACAAAGATTACGGACGAAAGTATGGTGGCCTAAAATTGACAAAGATGCAGAGATATTCGTAAGAAACTGTAAAAGTTGCACATTAGTATCTGCACCAAACCCACCTAATCCAATGAAACGCCGTGAACTACCGGTCGAACCATGGATTAGCTATTGATCTAATGGGACCTCTACCCACTGGAGATTTCTTGTTAGTTATCGTTGATTATTACAGTCGTTACAAGGAAGTAAAAGTGACAAAAAGTGTAACATCAAATGATATTATCAGGTTACTAAAGGAGATATTTTCACGGCTTGGTTATCCAGTTACCATCACTGCAGATAATGGCAGGCAATTTATTAGTCAAGAGTTTCGAAATTACCTGCAAGAATGTGGTATAATTCTTCACAACACAATACCATATTGGCCCCAACAGAATGGAGAAGTGGAAAGGCAAAACCGAAGTATTCTAAAACGCTTAAAAATCAGTCAAGTGGAAAGAAACAATTGGAAAGAAGATTTATTTTACTATCTGATGATGTACAATAGCACACCCCACTCAGTGACTGGTAAAACTCCATCTGAACTATTCTACAAACGACAATTTCGGGATAAAATTCCATCATACATAGATATTGAAAATAAACAAGAAGATTCAGAAGTTAGGGACAAAGACGCATTGCAAAAAGAAGCAGAGAAAAATTACAGTGACCGCAAGCGAAAGGCCAAAGATCACAGCATAAATGAAGGTGATAAGGTAATTGTTAAAAATTTCGCCAAAGAAAATAAGCTTACACCAAGCTTTTCTCCAGACATACATACTGTTGTAAAAACTACTAACAACACTGGAGACGTAGTGATTCGCAATAATGATACGAATACACAATATCGACGAAATGTAGTTCACTTAAAAAAAATTGAAGGAGAGTGGAAAGTAGTTAACGATGCACAAGAAGGAAATGTACCCAATTTGAATGAAGAAGTAACAGATAATAACACTGATGAAATAAGAATGATTATTGAATAATAATCTAAACTGATTCTGTAAAAGTTAAAGCAACTACTGATCATGCATGTAACCAGAAATAAAAAATATTAAGAAAAAGGAAGAGATGTAGTGTATAGACAAACGTCTTGTAGTGTATAGACAAACGGTAGTGAGTCGTCACTACTGGGGTATAAATATAGCCCGCCGTGTGAACATCGAGCAGTTGAATTGTAACCAGCGAGAAGGCGACATCTCTGTTAATACGTGTATACCGACAGACGTGTACCAAGTATTGTGTAGTGTTAGTGACATTATGTAATGAGTGATAACCGAATATATTGTGCAGAATAAAGCAGTGTATTGTATACCCATTTAATTTTTTCACATCCTTTTAAAAAATCTTTTTATCTTTCAAACATGTTTTTATAATTCTGTAAAACTCTCTATAGTCAATAAAGCCCTCACTCCATCGATACCCTCGGTGCTTTTCAATCCAGCCAATTTGTTTTTTCTCTTCAGAAGATAGTGAAGTGAATGGGTAAGGAGGTTTAATTATGAATATATTGGTGTACTCTAGAGTGGCTATAGCAATCTCCATTACTATAAATTTATTTTTGCAATTTTTGAAGCCTTGAAGATCGACGATTATTGTATTGCTATTCATGATATTTTCTTAACGATATTACTCAGTGGTTTGTATTCAAATATACAGTCGTTTAATATCAAGCAATAAGCGGTTGATATAGTTCAGATTTAGAATTTCTTTATTTTATTATTTTATTTACGGTTTATTATTTCGATTTTATCTGAATTTGAATTTAAATGTTTTTAGTTTTATTTCGATTTCAACTGAAAGCAACAACACATAGATAAGTAACACTGATTAAACTATTAAACTCAGTTTATAATAATAAAATATAGTTCAGATTTAGAATTTCTTTATTTTATTATTTTACTTATGGTTTATTATTCCGATTTTCGATTTTATCTGAATTTGAATTTAAATGTTTAATTTTTATTTCAATTTTAACTAAAAGCAACAAAACACATAAGTAACACTGATTAAACTATAAACTAACCCTTAGTTAGATACAAAACTGGACGAACGTTTTGATAATCTTCTTTGATGCATGATGCCAACTAGGTAACAGCCTTCCACGTTGGGGTTTTCTCACCGACCGCTGATTTAAAGCTGATCAGAGAGTTCTGCCAGCGGTCGGTTGATGGAATAGCCTCCAGCTCTTGGAAGTTAGAGACGCATATAACAGTGGTAGAGCCACGCGGCAGCTTTTGCTGTCGCACGAATGGGCCGGCTCGAACCGGGGTAGTACCAAGACCTCACAGAAAACCATCATGAAGTAGAGGTTTACCTCTGCGTTTCGCTTGGCGAGTGCAGGTGGCCGGAGGCCCTTTTTACTGGAAATGAGGCATTCCATCTTAGTCCTCACGGGTGACAACGCATCTACATTTTGATTTGTAACAGAGGATAGATGTAGATGTCTATGGGACGCAGCAACCACTTACCATCAGGTGGACTGTGTGCTCGTTTGTCACCCTTATCCTATAAAAAAAAAATGCGCACTTTGATGTAATATTCTCCTCGCTTCGAAGGCTCGCTCCGGTGCATATATCCCGAACCTGTTCGGAATGATAAGTAGCTTTTTAAAATCCTCGCTCGGATAGGTTCAGAATCTTCATCCTGGAAATAATAAAAATACTATTTAAACAAAAGCATACTGATAAGCGATGAACAATATTTATATTCCCTCCTACCCCGCATAAATATATTTTTATACGATGCTCATAACATGACCAATTTACTAACAATTGTATCTTACTTTTCATCATGTGAATGGTAACTCAAACTATTAAAATTAAATAAGATTTGCTTACCTCAGAATCTGGAAAAACTTTTAATTTACGTTTCCTGCTGGTCGATGCTGGGGTGAGTGATGATGATGTATCAGCCTCAGATTCCGACTCGCTTCCTACACTAACTGGGAAGACTAAGTGTTACGTACATACTTGTTGTTTTGGTGATGATGATGCTGAACACTTCCAGGTCTAGTAGACTGTGGAAAACACGATGCAACTAATGGTTAAACACCTCCCAACATTATATTTTATACCCTAAATTATAGCGCTGTCCCCAATTGGAAGTGTTTTAGTTTGACATATTATAAAATGAAGAAATATTTCATTTGGTAACTTTAGCATTGACCTGTATTAATGTCGTTTGTAAGGAATATTTTTGCTTATTAACATTAAATGCTCATATATGGAAAACACTTAACATAAATGTTTGCATGCGATGTCAAATCAACGTTGCGTCGTCAGCCGAAAACACCATTGGCGCCAGCCAGACACTGTAAAATGACATGACAGTGTTTTACAGGTAAACGTGTGTATTTCACAATGATATGGAAATGGGTCAGTATATAGCGGTCAATGAACTTATTAAATTTAGATCCATTATAAATATATCTTTGTATAAAATTAATGCTTTTTGAAGGAATAAAAAACTAACTATTTTCAATATTCAACTGAATTTTATACTATTCGTAATATCTCTAGATAGAATATAGTCTGGAATAACACCCAGCCGTTTGTTGTAAAAGCGTAAATATTGCCTACCCATAAATTAATTACTAATTCTATAAAAACTGGTATCACAAGCTTATGTTTGTTCCTAGTGTTTAAAAATGAACATATTTTTTTTCTTATGAAAGCTATTTATGTTTTTATGTACATACATTACATTTTCATAAATATATTTCGACGTTAAGTTAATATGTTTATTTCCTTAAAATTTGTCTCTAAGGGACTCATTACAATTAAAGTTATAAATCATCCGTATGCCTATCTTTTGCAAACAAATATGACTTCAATTTCAGTCGCTTATCCCATAGTAAGATTCCATAAGATATTACGCTATGAAAGTAACTACATGCTTATTTTATTAACTACGTTTGTACGTGGTAGAACTATGCTGCAGCTATACTAATATTATAGTTGTAAAACGAATGGGTCGGCTCGACCGGGGAAGGACCACGCTCTCACAGAATACCAGCGTAAAATAGCAGCTTAATGCTGCTGTGTTTTGTATGGTGAGTGTAGAGAACCGGAGACCTATTTTACTGGAAAAGAGGCATTCTATCTTAGTTCTCACGGGTGACAAATTTTAGAGAGTCATTATGATTCGTCTTGCACGCAAAGTCGACGACTTCCAGCCTCCTGAACAAGCCAGTTTCCGAAAAAACTTTAGTACCATTAACCACATACATACCCTTCGGCAAGTTGTAAAGAAGACAGAAAAGTACAATCTGCCACTTTGTCTACAGTATTAACATTCATTGCGAGTACATCACTCACATTCGATTAGCCGACGATATATTACTTATAGCAGAATCGCTATAGGAATATATCGTACTAAGCACTATGACCAATGACCCCAATAGTCCCCTAACCTATAGGCCTTAAGATAAACATGGACAAAACCCAGATATTGTTTCATGTCCATGTCTTACTTATGCCAGTAGTTGTTGGGAGCACTAAGCTCGAAGTTGTTGACGAGTATGTTTATCTGGAACAAATAGTCCGACTAGGTAAGTCCAACTTCGACCGAGAGGTCAATCGATGTATTCAACTTGGCTAGGCAGCGTTTGGGAAACTAAGATACATGTTCTCGTCAGGTATACCACAAAACCTAAAAATGAATTTATACAACCAGTGCGTGTTGCCAGTCATGACTTATGGATCTGAGATGTGGTACTTCACTGTTGGCCGTATGAGGACGCCGAAGGTCACTCAGCGAGCTATTGAGAGGGCTATACTCGGGGTTTCTCTGCGTGAAGAACTTATAAATGAGGATATCCGCAGTAGAACAAGAGCAACCGATATAGCCCAAACGGATTTGTAAGCTGAAGTGGGAATGGGCCGACCATATAGCTCGAAGAACAGACAACTGATGTGGAAAAAATTTTCTCGAGTGGCAGCCTCGTACCGGTAGGCGAAGTGTAGGGTAACCCGCACTAGATGGAGTGACGACCTGGTAAGACATGCAGGAAGTCAGTTCAGTAGTCCATACATTTTCTGCCGTTACTGCTGTTTGCGGGGCCCTGGTTCTGCGGTCATCTATAATATTAATTTTCCCCTTTTTGAATTCAGCAAACCACCTAAAAATTGTAACGCCTGATGGAGCTGAGTCCCTTCATGCTGATTGTAACCGTTGTAAACTTAATTGTTCAGTTAAACCAAATTTAAAATCATAATATTATATCATAGCGCGCAAATGTTCACGGTTAAGATCGATCGATTTAAATGAAAATCGCGGGAAGCGTTGCGAGAAAATGAATAAAACTTTTTTTAATATTATGCAATTGGTTTATGGAGTTCTATTTTTAAATAAATTTCCTTTTAAAAACATATAACACGGGTGCGTTCCATTTTTACATTTTGAGCATGTCAAAACTTATTGAGTGACCTACGTAATAAGCTTCAAACCATTCGTAGAGGGTGTAAATATATGTAGTATAAATGTAAATGTCAATGATCTGAGGTTTTCCGAATTAAATTAGATTAATATTAACAATTTAAATAAGAAGTTTTCATATATTTTGTAGATGTTAATACATATTAGAATATATTAAAATTTTAACTATTAATAAGCTTGAATAATTAACCCCTTTTTTAGAACAAGACGCGGTATATTTAACCCACTTGGTTCATAATAAAGAAAGTTACTGGAAATCTCGATAATTATGATGCAGTTAGATATGACAAATTAATAACAGAAGTAAAACTTAAACAAAATGGTAATGACAACACAATGAAGTTGGTCACAGAAATAGTAAAATTTCTGACAAATTCTATATTGAAATTAATAAAGATATTATCACATTATCACACAACTTAAGTAGTATAGTTGAAAGAGATTAATCATATCGAGATACGGATTATAAGTACTTACAACCTATTGATTCATAACTTTCAGGCTATCCTTATAACACTGAATGAGATAGAAACCACTTTAGCTTTGAGTAGATTAGGAATCTTACATCAGTCTGTAATAGAGTCTAAAAGATTGTTATTTTTACTTGAAAAAATTGGTAGATTAACGAATTTAATATACACACCTACATTAGCAAATTTAGTTAAGATAGAGCGAACTGTAATGGTAAAAGCTTATTTAAAAGAAAATAGTATAACTTATCTTTTGGAAATACCTCTCGTCACTAAGGATATTTATATTTATTATAAGGTCTATCCCTTACCTGTACTATCCCATAACCGTGCCACTGTCATTTTAAGAAAATTTCCGTACATGTTAATCAAAGGGTCGAAGAATAGACTGTTTGCTCATCCTTGTCAGGGAGCCGATTAATACAGTTACCTCTGCTCTGAGGATGACACATCCCAACTAATTAAGAACGATTGCATCACAGAACTGATGACATATGCTGAAAATATATCCTCATTCATCAAAGTTACAGTCATTTTGGAAGCTGTAAGGGTGCAAATTATCTTCACCAAGGAGTTTACTCTCCGAGGTTTGTGATGATAAAATATAAAGGCAGAAAATTGATGGCACATATACCTTAACATTGGACGATAACTGAGCAGCCCAAATCAAATTTAATCATCTACCAAGGAACGCTGTGGAAATTGAAAGCATTTTATCCCCTATATTACCTATGATTATCCTACCTGCAATAAACTCATCCCTCGAGATGTCATCACCGGTGCAGCTAAACCTAGAAGGTATAGATCTTACGGACCTCAAACTTGTGTCAGTTGCTTTAAAAAAGTGAAATTAAAAACCGTAAAAGTGAAAAGGCAATTGTGGTGAATAAAAGTGTTAGTCTATGGACCATTTTATTATATAGACTGTTATTCATTATTGTAACCTGTCTCTTAGTTCATAAGTACCATTTATACTTGTTGAATTTTTGTATCAGAAGTTCTTCTGTAAACGGGAACTTTGAACTTAAGAAGGATGGTGTTACAAGTGGCGAAACCCATCAAGATACCCGCATCAGCAGAATATTTTGATTGTAGAAAAACAGGCATGTACTAAGTGTACAAACGGAAATGGCCGAGCTCCTGTGTGAGCTCTCATGTATTTGTTTTTAAGCATAGAATATTAATTAATAGAATCAGGCGTTACTTTGCGGAAATCCATTATATAAAAGCTTTTACAAAAATTTACTTCGCAAATATCCGCGTTAGACTCTACGGTGGCTAACCGCTTACTTAGCGGTTAGCCACCGTAGAGTCTATATCACCTGAGGATGCCTCGTGTAGAGGCGAAACACGTGTCGTATTATCGTCAGTGGTGTGTCTTGCCTAGTGTAGTGGTGTTCGGAGTAGTGGTGCTGGGATAAGTGGTGACGGGGATAGTGCACGCAATTGAGGGAGGGCGGGAGGTGCTCTTCGTACTAGGTAAGACACATCATTTTATTTTATAACGCGGATATTTGCGAAGTAAATTTTTGTAAAAGCTTTTATAGAATATTAAGTTAGTCTTAAGCGAGTTTTTGTAGCATATTGATTTCTTATATTTATGCAAACACTACTGTTTCATTTTATACACTGAATAAAACTACTTTTTTACGGATTTAATCGCGTTTAATTAACTTATTTTATATTCCCGATGTTTGGGTTGCTTTCCAGCGACCATGGTCACGGGGCACTGAGGTGACTGACGTCCCGATGTCAGAATTAACCCGGAATACCTTCAGCTTTTTAGTTATTAATTTTTGTCCAATGTACGCAGAATGAACTTACTGTGTTTTGAAGTCTAATTAGGTAGTAGTAGAGTTTAGTTCTAATTTTATAAATTATAGAATCTAATTTTATAAATTTAGGTAGTAGTAGGGTTTAGTTCTAATTTTATAAATTATAGGATCCCAAGCTGGTGGTTGTACCTAGCCTCCCTCTCTATTGAAATTAGGATGTTTTTTTTTAACTTCAATAGCCTCACATCGATTCCTGCCAAGGATGATACGTGATTAGTCAATATGTGAAAATTTTCGATATTAATTTGTCATAGGTTATTACGATATTGACGTGTGTGTATCATTTCACAAAATGCAAGAAAATCAATGATTATATATTAATTCAGTATATTCATTAGTAAGTATATTCATTCAGTAATTATTAATTGCTATTCATGATTATTATTGACTTATAATAATAATTGAAAATAAAAATTGATAAGTAACATTTATGTATGACAAAGGCTTATAATATATGTAAAAAGGGTAATTGCGTATTGTACAGAGACTAATTTTGTAGTTAGGAATAATAATTAATTCGTTTACTCGAATTAACTATCCAACGAGTTAAGGATAAACTAGTAACGGAATACGACAAGCGTACCGTTCCACGTCAGAGCCAAGACTGTCTTAACGGCGGCCGCTCCGTCCGTTTTATACAAGCAGGACGGGTGGCAACGCAGGTGCAATGCCGCAGGTCTGCGGTACACGTGTCGTTTACAAGAATTCTGTCTAGCTAGATCGACGCCACCGCACCTACATATATTTTATATATGTATGTAGGTGCCGTCATATATTTTAATAGTAATATGTATTGTTTGATACTTTATGCGTGCGTATGTACTTATTCATACAAAGAAACGCAGATGTTTTTAGAAAAGACTGGAAATGTAAATATTAATCGTTGAATTCCTTTATCCCTTATCACAAAAAACTTCAAATTTCAAAGGACTATTTTTCATACTCGTATTTTTACCTTTTTTGTACAAGGTGGGGCACGCTCTGGCATTCTCCTTTTTTTGTTTAATTAAAGTGCTGGAGATGGTAGTGGACGGCGTTTAGGTTCGAGTGAAGTCCCCTGATGTTGCAGAAATTCACGTATAGCGTGGCAGGGGTCGCCTTGGTATTGTTGCTCAGTTTGACCCGAGCAGTTATGTTTTTGAGCGGAATTTTACCCCCTCGCCCCAGAATACCTGAGCACCCACGCTCAGGAGTGGAATAACATGGTCGTGGATGCTCAGCGAGGGATTTTCCAAGGGTGGTGGTACCCTCCTGGGGTAGTCTTTGGAGTAATTCCTCTACAATGTTGATGGAGGGGGGAATTGGGCCTATGAGAGCCTCCTCATATTCCTTGCTGCATTGGTCAAAATCATTAACCGTTCCCTGTAGCTGATCTCTTTCTTGTGTATTCTGTATGTAACTTAACCATATCACATTTCAATTGTGTATTTTGGCACTTATGCTAACTATTTCCCTTTCAATTTAGAAAGTATTAAAATTTCTGATTTAAGGCACTCTACGTCAGTTTCTTTTTCATTTTTTAATGTTATCCACCTTAATTGAATATAATTGGTTTTAAAGTTCATATACCAATGCTTGCTTTTCTTTAAATAAAACAACATAATTTTGATGTTGATATTATTTTTTATAAGTACTCGTATTTGTATTTTCTTCCCATTTTTATTAACTTTTATGTCTTTGTTCAATTTGGTTTTACTGCAATTAATCCTTGCTGTTTTTCCTGAAGTGGAAGAGTCGTCCCCTGTCAAATCTGTTGTTGCTGATTGCTGGCATATTTTAGAATTATTATATTGCACAAACTCAGAGAAGAGGCTTTGAGTCTGGGAGGCTTTTAGGTTATCTATGTACGTTTGAAATTGTACTATTTGCTCATTAGCCTCATTCAACTGTTACCTCAATGCAGAAATAAACTGAGAGCTTCCTTATATTCTTTGCTGCATTGGGCAAACTCATTAACCGTTCGCTGTAGCTGATCTCTTTCTTTTATAAAACTTGTGTAATAGAGTAGAATACAAATAGAATATTTTTTTATTTAATAAACATTACACGTGTGATTCTTATTGAAAGTCATTTTTTACTTTACCACTGGTTCAAAAAAAAGCCTTCTGTCCTGGGAAGAACCAGCAAGAAACCCAGCGGGACTTTTTTTAAAAATAAATTATACAATATAA